AAGACATGTCCAGGTCCATGCCTTTAGCCTGCAAATGTGACATTCTTTGGAAAAAGGGTCTTTAGATATGATTAAGGATCTTGAGATGAGATCATCTTGAATTATCTCAGTGGGCCCTAAATCAAAAAGTGTGTTTGTATTGATACCCTGTGGGGCACACCTGTAATCCCAGCAGCTCAGGAGGCTGAGGCAGGAAGATTGCCAAGTTAGAGGCCAGCCTCARCAACTAACCGAGGCCCTAAGCAGCTTAGTGAGACTCTGTCTCAAAATAAAAAGAGCTGGGGATGTAGCTCAGTGATAAAGTGCCTCTGGGTTCAATTCCCAGTATCAAAAAAATAAATAAAGTCACCCTGTAGAAGACACAGCATCAGAGGCAGCTGCCACATGAAGCAGGCAGATATTGGAGTATGCTGTGTCCTGACCTGGGAAGATTCAGGACACAAGAATTCCAGAAGTTACTAATTAAAAAAAAAAAAAAAAAAAAAGAATTCTAGGAGCTCAAACCTGTTTTAGTGTTTGGCAGACTCCCATATGGTGTTATCGTCAGCCTCAAGCCCAGGAGTCATAAGAATCTAGAAGAGGCAAGGAAAGATTCCTCCCTGGAGGCTTCTTAAGGAGCCTGGCCCCACTAATACCTTAATTTTAGACTTCTGGCCTTCAGAACTGTGAAAGAATAAATTTCTGTTGTTTATACCTAGTTTTTGATAATTTTTTTTGTTTTGTTTTTCTCAGATATGGGGGATTGAACCCAGGGTCGCTCCAACATTGAGTTACACCCCAGTTTTTATGTTTTAATTTGAACCAGGTTGTTACATTGCTGAGGCTGTCCTTGAATTTGTGATCCTTCAGCCTCAGCTTCCCAAGTAGCTGAGGTTAAGGTGCGCAAGACTATACCCAGCGAGTTTGTGGTAATTTGTTACAGAAGCCCTTATTACAGCCGCCCTAAGAAACTATTAATACAGATGGTGCAATGGGCCAGAACTATAGGTCAGCCTCAAAGCTCCAGAAAGGCTTTGACCTGTCTTTGTTCCCAATCCGTGCTTGGAGAAAAGGGATCTTTTCTCATTCTACCCTGTCAGCAAATATCTCCCTCCTCTGCAACCCTGAGCTAATCAGAAACACGTTTAAGTAATGTGTTCCTGAGTGTTTGACAACACAGATCCCGTTGACAGAAAACTTGGTCTTAAACAACTGCAGTGACTTCTGCACCAGGTGGGGACTACCCCAGTTGATTAGTCCTGAGTATGCTGTGTCCCCACCTGGGCAGATTCAGGACACAAGAATTCCAGGAGCTCAAACCTGTTTCAGTGTTTGGCAGACTCCCAGCTGTGAAGGTGTGATCCAGGATCAGAGTCCACATCTCCACCCAGGCCAGAGGAACAGTAACTCTAGAAAGGCAAGGGAGAGATGGAACCATAGGGAAGAGTGTTTGGAAAGTTAGTGAGCTATAACAGAGAGAGAGTTCCGCACCTATAGGCAGATATGTGATCTGAAATACTCAGAGAACGCCCCACAGATAGTGGGGAGGGATGTACAGAGATATGGGGTCATAGCTAATGCTTCAGAGAAGTATACGGAGAGATCCTGCCTAAAAAAGAAAAAGACTCAAATGTTCAGAATATTTAGAAAGAAAAATGAACAAAAGCTGACTCATGTAGGAGAAAGATGTCTAGTTGTATAGTCTCCAGTTAGCATGGTACTTTTACCGTCTCTGCTCCCATAACCTCTCACACCTCAACTAAATTAGTTACCACATTCTGTCTTGCACAGGCCCATCCAATTCAGATCTTACCATTTGCCTTCCAGGTTTGGTTGCCAAACAAGGTGCTGACAACATAGCTCACCATCCAGATTGCATGCTGGATCAGAATGCTACAGAATTGGAATATGGCTTGGAATTTGGCTTTAGAAAGACAACCTAGAATTTTGGGCTGACTATCTCATAAGATGACCACTTGGAGAAGAGCTTTTATTTAGCCATACAAATTTTGGGAACAATGAGAGTCACTCAGTCAAGGCAGATAATTTGGGGTGCCATAAAAAATGTGATGTCATCCTCCTGGGACAGCTGTGATTTGAAATATAAAGGTTATTGATGATGAGCTGAGGGGAAGGAAGACATCTCAGTCATTTTGGTATTTTTCAAGCACCTGGCAAGGTGATCTACCTAATAGTTACTGAATAAAAGATTGACTCAATCAAATACTGGACCCTGCCCTAATGGTACTTAAGGTTATTAGAGCAGATAAAATGTCATAAATCACCCTAATATGAGTTAGATGGTGGGCAGGGTTATTACCAAAGGCGGGCAAAGAACTGTGGTAGCTCAGAGGCACTAGAGATCTCTTCTGGACTGGTGGTAGAGGGCTGGTGAAGGCTTCCTGGAGGAGTTGGCCTGTGAACTGAGTCTTGAGAAGAGATTTAGACAAAGGACACAGGGAGACAGTTTAACTCTATAGTTTAGCACAAGCACCAATGTGTCAGAACTGAAGCACTCAAATGGAGTTCTGAGGCTCCTCTATGCTAGGCATGACCCCTTTAGATAAGGAATCATGAGGACAATAGTGTTCCCAGGGAGGAGATGGGATAGTAGGGTACCCTGGATTAAGGGGCTGAAGCTGTATGCCAACATGATTAGAAATATTTCAATATACCTATACAACTATGCTGGTTCATGCCTGTTGAATGGCCCTAGATATGGACATGAAATGACTTGTCAGAGCCTTAGGGGCCTTTCTAAAATGTGAGCTACAGAACAATGAAGGCTGTTTTCTGTTCCATGCTGCATCCCTAGGGCTGTGAGCAATACCAGGAGGATTGGAGGAGGCTCAGTAAATACTCATTAAATGGGCAAATTAGGAGACCATTCTTTCTTTCTTTCTTTCTTTTTTTTTTTTTTTTTTTGTGGCGCTGGGGATTGAACCCAGGGCCTTGTGCATACGAGGTAAGCACTCTACCAACTGAGCTATATTCCCAGCCCTAGGAGACCATTCTTGATGTCCTTCTACCTCATCCTCTTACATCCAATTTCCCCCTCCAATTTACGGTTGGGACTTACTCTCAACATGATATAACTGGCCACTCTCTTGCTCAAAATATTTTATGCCTACCCTTTTTTCCAGACTACCATTATCCCCATTTAAAAAAAAAATCAATTGGACTGCTACTTCTTCCTCTTCAAAGTCCTGATCAAATTTTACCTACTTATTACTTTCTGAGGCAGAAGGACTCTCTCTTCCCCAAAATATGAGAGTACTTGCCCTTGCTCACTGGAAAGTGAGCTTCTTAAAGAGGGGATTCTCTTATTAATTTCCAGACACCCAGTCCAAAGCCCAGTGCTTGACATATAGTAGGTGTTGAATACATAGCAAATGCAACAGTGAATGGCATTGGTTGGGGATGTAGCTCAGTGGAGGAGTGCTTGCCTATTACAGAGGATGTTCTGGGTTTTATCTCCAGCACAGCAAAACAAACAAACAAAAAGTCTTCAGTGAATGGCATTAAAGGCAATGAGAACTAGATTTAAAAAGGTGGTAAACAGTTTGGAGCAAAAAAAATAAACTAGGCATGGTGGCACATGTCTATAATCCCAGCAACTCAGAAGGCTGAGGCAGGAGGATTAAGTTCAAAGCCAGCCTCAGCAACTAAGCAAGGCCCTAAGCAACTAAGTGAGACCTGTCTCAAAATAAAAAATAAAAGGGCTGGGGATGTGGCTCAGTGTTAAATACCTGTTGGGTTCAATAGCTGGATCCAAAAAAAGAAAAAAGGAGAAAAAAAAATGAGTAGTTTGAGTTAGGTGTGGTGGTGCATGTCTAAAATCCCAGCAAGTCAAAAGATAGGAGGATCACAAATTTGAGGCCAAGCCTGGGCAATTTAGCAATACTCTATCTCAAAATAAAAAATACAAAGTACTGGGAATGTAGTTCTCATTGGTAAAGCACTCCTGATTTCAATCCCGCATACAAAAAAAAATAGGGGGTTAGGAATTTAGCTCAGTGGTAGAGCATTTGTCTGCCCATGAGGCCTTGGGTTCTATCCCTAGCACCACACACACACACACTATCCCCAGCACCCCCCCACACACACACACGCAATCCCCAGCACTACACACACAAACACACAAACACACTATCCCCAGCACCACACACACACATACTATCCCCAGCACCACACACATACACACACTATCCCCAGCACCACACTCACACACATACACACACACACACACACACACACACACACACACGGAAAAAAAACAAAAAAGGGGGGGAAAGGAGTTTATGAAAATGAATGGTTTAATTTGGAGTTTGAGGAAGAGTGGAAGGAGATAAGATGGAAAGATCTCTTAGGAAAGGTTTTGAAGGGACATGCAAGTGAGAAGGAGAAAATGGGAATAATTTGGTAAGCAGTGAGAAACCAATGAAGGTTTTTGAGCAGGTGGAAAGATGAAAACTAGATAAATTTAGTTTAAACCCACCAGAATTTCTTTCAGACACCCAGTTTTTCATTCATACATTCAGTTTTTCATTCATGCTCAAATTTGCCTCCTACCTACCCTCCTACACATTTACCTATTTACCCTTACAGCTTGCCCTGCCCCATTCTGCTCCCTGGCTGGGCCAGAGGTGGGCTGCTTTCCCTCTTAGCCAGGCGACACAGGGGCCCCAGCTTCCCTGTCTTTTCCCTTCCTTTCTTGGGGTTGGGAAGCAGGCCAGGGTTAGCTGAGGCTGCTGCTGGCAAGCAGCTGGCTGGTGCCAGGGAGAGCCTGTACAGTGCCAGGCGGTGCCTTGGGTTCCAAGCTGGGCCCATGACCCCGATAACCTTGTGCTTGTGAACACACCTGCCCCTCACTCCACCCCATCCAAGCTTTGGTATCGGGGAGGGGGCACAGGGCCAGACAGACCCGCGGGACTTTGGCTCCATCTCTACAAAAGGGCACTCTGTGAGTCAGCCTGCTCCCCTCAAGGCTCGCTCCTCCCCCACCCAGCTCCTGTTTCCTATGCACGTACAGCCCGTACACACCACACCGTGTCCCGGGACACCCCAGTCAGCCGCATGGCTTCCCTGTGCCCCAGCCCCTGGCTCCCTCTGTTGATCCCAGCCCCTACTGTGCAACTGCTGCTGTTGCTACTGCTCCTGGTGCCTGCCCATCCCCAGAAACTGTCCTGGATGCAGGGGGATCACTCTATGGGAGGAGGTTCATCTGGGGAAGACAGTCCACTGGGCCAGGAGGATTTGTACAGTGAAGAGGATCCACCTGGGGAGGAGGATTCACCTGAAATTACTTCTAAACCAGAAGAGGACAACTCCCTGAAGTTAGAGGATCTACCAACTGTTGAAGCTCCTGGGGACAGTCAAGGTCACCTAAGTAAAGCTCCCGGGAACAAAAAAGGTAAGTGGTCATCAGCCTCCAAATTTAGGCTCAGTAGAATCATGCCACCTCTCCCTACTCCTGGCAGAGATCATTCAGGGAAGGAGCCTGTTCTCTATGAGAAACCCCTCCAGGGGGCTCCCCCACCATTAGACCCCTCTGTCTTTCAGCGCTAGAAGAGGAAAGATGGGGAAAGGAAAAATATGGAGAACTGCTGGAAGAGATGGGAAAGAATGGGGGAGATTGRAGAGGAGAAGGAGAACAGGACTGTCCAGAAAGGGGGGGATAGGTGAAGAGGAAGAGAGAATGTGAAGAAAAGAGGAAAGACTAGGGGGAGAGAGTAGGTACCAAAGGAAAGGCAGAACCTGTAGACTTTCTCAGCTTCAGTCTGCAAGGAAGAAGCTGGGACTAGGAAGAAGGAATCAACGACAGGAGAGGGACCTGGTATCTTGATTTCCAAGCCAGGAACGCAGGGAAAAGAGTTGGAGACTAGGAAGGGCAGTGGAATGAGTATGGGAAAGGGATGAATAAGGGAGAGAGGAAAAAGATGGTCTACTGAGTTGGGCTTGGGGACTGAGGTACTCACCTACTCTACAGATCCTAAACTAGTGGTTGCAAACAGGTATCTCCGGGGCCAATGGGGCCATTGTTTGCCCTCCCGGCTCCAGTGTTATGTTTGGTTGCAGTCCACTGCGTTTTTGCACGTGGTCCGCTTCAGACATTTGTTACCTGCTATGCCCTGTAAGACATCTTAATTTATGGGGCCCTGCCGCGAGGTGGGGGACCTATTTCTCCGGACCSCTGGGAAGGGATGGGCTCTAAGGCTGGCTTGTACATCCTTCTCATTTACGCAGGGGATGGCCACATTCATTGGCGCTACGGAGGTGAGACTCCCACTCCCTGCAGAGATCCAACCTGGGAACCCGGCTCTGTTGATCTGCCCCACAACCATTCCAAGACTGGTTTCTGGGCGTCCCATTCACGGCAGGCTCCGGTCCCCGCCGGCTCCGGTCCCCGCCCACATCCCTGATTTCTATTTCCCGCTCCGAGGCCTCCAGACTCCACCCGCTTCACTTTTTCGCGCAGGTTGCTTAAAAGTTCCTTACCCAGTCATCAGACTTCTCCACCATACTCTCTATTCCCAGGCAACCCGCCCTGGCCCCAGGTGTCCCCAGCCTGCGCAGGCCGCTTTCAGTCCCCCATAGATATCCGCCCGGAACTCACTGCGTTCAGCCGCGCGCTGCGACCCCCACAACTTCAGGGTTTTGCGCTACCGCCACGTCCSGAACTGCGCCTGCGCAACAATGGGCACACCGGTGAGGGGGTCTGGGGTGGAGCCTCAGGGAAACCGAAGGGACTGTCTGGGGATGGGACCCGGAGGAGGGCGGTTGGGGAGGTGCTTCGGGGTTAGGCTGGTTTCACCCGCGGGCAGGCGAGACAGGGTCGGGCTCACCTGGCGCTCCCCCCGCAGTGCAGCTGACTCTGCCTCCCGGGCTGGAGATGGCCCTGGGTCCCGGGCGSGAGTACAGAGCCCTGCAGTTGCATCTGCACTGGGGTACCTCGGATCGCCCGGGCTCAGAGCACTCTGTTGATGGCCACCATTTCCCTGCCGAGGTGAGCATCCGAGGAGGGGCAAAGGGGCGTGGCCCGAGATATACCCCACTTTGACCCCGGTGTTTTCTCCAGATCCATGTAGTTCACCTCAGCACTGCATTTTCGGGAGTTGATGAGGCCTTGGGGCGCCCGGGAGGCCTGGCGGTTTTGGCCGCCTTCCTACAGGTACCCATCTGCACACCCCTCCCACTCCCGTTCCCTTCTTCCCTGGGGTCCAATGTATCTTGCCCTCAGAGATCCCATCCCCAAACTGTCACTCTGGCCTCTAGCCTTCATCCTCATTCAACACCCATGTTGAACCAGGCACTGGACCATAAAAAAAGATTCAGAAGCTGTGGGTCCTTGCCTCTAAGGAACTCACAACCCGTGGGAGCTGACATGATAGGTAATGGGAAGGACACAGTAAAATGGTGGTCAGGGAGGAGGTTAATTCTGAAGCTTTTGACAGGAAAAAAAGGGAAACATTCCAACCAGAGAGAACAGTACCTGCAAATACAATGTGGCCCATTTGGGGAATGGCAGATGAAACAATTAGACATTGGAAGAAGTAATTTCTCTATTAACTCTTGTAACCTTTCATTTCCCTTCCTAAAATGCAGCATTTATTGACCTCTTTGGACCTTAATGATCAAAGATATATATGCCATGATTAGAGGAGGCCKTGAAGGGAAAGGATGAGAGACCTGCTAGGCTCACTCACAAATGCGAAACTCATAGCACAATGTTCAGAGAAATGCCTCAGAAATAGCACATCAGGACAAGGTTCCAAAAGCCAAACATGAGTTATTAAAGTGAATGCAGAAGTAGCACAAATACAAGGTGTATTAAGGTTTTCTGTGGGAGAACCATGCAGTGTATGTATATGTATAAAAGTTAGCAGGGCCAAGGTCCTTGAGGGCCTAGTATCCTAGTGAAGTGGCAGCTTCTCCTCCTCCTCCTCTTCCTCCTCCAATTTGCCATTGAAACCCAATTCACCAAGCTCATTAGTTTGCAAAACAAGAATAATAAACTTACTCAGTAAGAGTAATAAGATTTCCTCTCAGAGGTGAGGAATGGGGGAGGATTATTGGAAACCCACCCCATGTTTAGGCCTCCAGGCAAGGCCCTAGATTATAGGTATAAGTCTGTTTTGCATTTTCACCCCCAGGAGGGCCCAGAAGAAAACAATGCCTATGAGCAGTTGCTGTCACATTTGGAAGAAATTGCTGAGGAAGGTCAGTTTGTAGGTCTGGCCACTACTTTCTATACCCTAATGCTTAAACACTTGCCCTGGGGAGCTGGGTATGGTGGCACATGTTTGTAATCCCAGCTACTTAGAAGGCTGAGGCAAGAGAGTTCCAAGATTGAGGCCAGGACAATTTAGTGACACCCCATCTCTAAATAAATAAATAAATAATAAAAAAGGAAAAAAAGACATAGCTGTGCAATGTGCATACCTGCATTTGTAATGCCAGTGACTTGGGAGCCTGAAGCAGGAGGATGGCAAGTTCAAGGTCCTCCTCAGCAACTTAGCAAGACACTGTCTCAAAATAAAAAGGGCTGTGGATGTAGCTCAGTGGTAGAGCTCCCCTGGCTTCAATCCCCAGTACCATTATTAAAAAAAAAAAAAAAAAGGTTTTGAGAGCTTCAGATCTGAGAACAGGGATTGGATGGAGTTGGGTGTGAACTAGCTTTGATCTGGATAATAACTGTGAAGTTGACCACAGGCAAGCTGTTGCCCATAGGCTTGATGATTCCAAACCAAAAACCAAACTGAAAACAAAGTTAGAAAAAAAAGGAAAAGAAAAGAAAAAAAGGACAAAAAAAAAAAAGTGTTTGGAAATTCCTGGGTTGAGTGTGGAAAGATACACTTTTTCTGAAAACTCTGTTTCTCATTCATAATCATCAAATATTTGAAGTTTATAGAAACAGTTGTTGGAAATCTTTCTCAGTTGCAGTGGGTCATTTTAAACTTCACTTACTCCACTGGACCTTTAGGTTTTTGCTAAATGAAAAGAAGTGTGCCTTTGGAGGGTTTTTTGTTTTGTTTTTGTGACATTGGGGATTGAACCCAGGGGTACTTCACGATTGAGATACATCCTCAGCTTTTTTTTTTTTTTTTAATTTTGAGACAGAGCTTCAGTAAGTTGCTGAGGCTGGTTTTGAACTTGTGATCCTCCTGTCTCTCTCAGCCTCCCCAGTGATTGGGATTATAGGCGTGTACCATCACACCCAGCTGCCTTTGAAGTTTTGTGTCTGTTTTTGATAATTATGAATATTAGTTTATTTACAAGTTATTCAAATTTATTTATTTAGTTATACCAGGGTTCAAAACCAGATCTTTGCAAGGCAAGGTCCATGCTAGGCAAGCATTCTACCTCTGAGTTATTTCCCTAGCTTCATTTTTTCTGTTTAATTCACTCTGGGCTTAAATTGGTGATCCAGCAAGTTATGATGGTATGCAAAGTAAGAGTGAAGGCTCAGTCTTCTTTTCTCACTCTGTGAGGCCTCATCGGATTGTTCAAAGCCCTTTACTTCCTTTTGAGTTTTCCTATGTGGAGTTATGGGAAGGGATCACACATAGTGAAGAAGTATGCTCAGGGAGTTAAGTTGGTTTGGGGAGGTGAAACTGTATCTCTCTACCTCAGAACTTTAAGGGGACATAGTCTAAGTGAGACACCAACAAGTCTTCTCCACAGACTCAGAGATCTGGGTCCCAGGACTGGATGTATCTGCCCTGCTGCCCTCTGACCTCAGCCGCTATTTCCGATATGAGGGATCTCTGACCACACCCCCCTGTGCCCAAGGGGTCATCTGGACTGTGTTCAATCAGACAGTGAGGCTGAGTGCTAAGCAGGTAAGACTTGGGCATGGTGTGGGACCCTTTTGTTTCCTTTTTTTATTTTTATTTTTTGTGGTGTTGGGGGATTGAATCCAGGGCCTTGCATATGCTTTGCAAGCTCTCCATTAGTGAGCTACATCCCCAGCCTTCTTTTATTTTCTGGAGTCTACCTGTATTATCTGTTGACTTTCCCAGCTCCACATCCTCTCCAGTTCCCTGTGGGAATCTCATAACTCTCGGCTACAGCTGAACTTCCGAGCCACGCAGCCTTTGAATGGGCGAATGATTGAGGCCTCCTTCCCTGTTGAAGTGGACAGTCACCCTGAGCCAGGTGCAGCTTTGTCTGGTGTCCCATATTGCTACGTCACCCCAGCCATAGGTCCCTCCTCCTCACATGTCTTCATTTATATCAGAGAGTCTATCACTGGTGGCTACGGTCTCTGGCTCTAATATCTCCTTTTTCTCTTCAGTCCACATGAATTCCTCCTGCCTTGCTGCCGGTGAGTCTGTGTCCCTTTTACTCTTAGCATTATTCAGCCCCAGGGGGTAATCGGGCCACCTATGCTTCCTCTCCTCTTCCTTGAACAGACCCCTGTCCCTAATATGACAGAGTCAGACTGGTGAGGGGGATTCCCCCACTGACCCCATGACTTAGTTGATGAGGATGAAGCTCCCCAAATGTTCTAGCATCCTCTCTCCCAAACAATTTTTACCTAGCTGTTAGGAAGAAAACCTTCCAGTGCATCCATGGTTTTCTGGGCTGGCCTCTTCCAGAGACAGAAGTCTGGGGCTGATGGTGTGGCAACCATTGAAGCAGGCCTAAAGGGACCCAGTGGACCCCAGGTACCCCTCTTAAGGTGGTCCTTCTCCTCTTCCTCTCAGGTGACATCCTGGCCCTGGTGTTTGGCTTCCTGTTTGCTGTCACCAGTATCGCCTTCCTTGTGCAGATGGGGAGGCAGCACAGGTATTCACTGACCCTCTCCTTCAGTACAGCTCTCCCACCCACCCTTTGTGGAGTGCATGCAAATTAACTCATCCAGGGCCAGTTTTCTGATTCAAGTTCCTTGTTGTATAGACACAGAAGTAGGACCAAAGAGGGTGTTAGCTACAGCCCACCAGAGATGGCGGAAACTGGAGCCTAGAAGCCCGGAACTTGGAAAATACACAGATAAGCCAGCTAGAGGATTATGGGGGGAGCTGGAAACTTTTTCCTATTTTGCCCACTAGATGATTCCTTTTTAATTTGCAAAGAATGTTTCTTCTTCTTTTCCCCCCTAAAGCCACTGAAATGGGATCTTATAGTAACAAAGCAAGATTGCACTCCCAGATTTTTTTTAAAAAATAAATATTCCTAACAAAATGTGTAAGTCACCTTTTTCCCTCAAACCAGAAGGTTGGTATATTAGTTTCCCATTGCTGCTTTAACAAATTTTCACAATCTTGGTGGTAATGCAGATTCATTCTTATAGTTAGTCCAAAATGAATTTTAGGTGTCCAAGTCCAGGGGTCAGTGCGGCTGGTTCCTTTTTTTGTTTGTTTGTTTTTGAGAGAGAAAGAGAGAGAGARTTTTTTAATATTTATTTTTTAGTTTTTGGCAGACACAACATCTTTATTTGTATGTGGTGCTGAGGATCGAACCCGGGGCACGCRTGCCAGGCGAGTGAGCCACATCCCCAGCCCAAGGGGCTAGTTCCTTCTGAACATTCTGAGGGTACAAGGTTTCCTGGCCTTTTTCGGATTCTGAAAGTTCCCTGCATTCCTTGGCTTATGGCCCCTTCCTGGCATCACTCCAACCTCTGCTTTCATTGTCATGTGTCCTACTGCCTTTGATCTTTCTCCATCTTGGAAGGACCCTGTGATTACACTGGGCTTGCCCAGGTAACATAGAAGAATCTCTTCAACTCAGACCTTTTGCTCAGAGTCCCTTTTCCTATGTAAGTTAACATTTCATAGGATAAGACTGTGGACATCTTTGGGGGAGGGGGATTATTCTGTCCACCACAGATGTTATCCAGAAGGGAGGTGACTGATATTTCTGAGATGGGTGTGTGTGTCAGCATGGGTGTTGGGAGGAGGGGTAGGCTACAAGTTACTAGGCTTAAAATTACATTGAGGCTTTTAGGCTTTTACCCTGTTGGAGGAAAATCTGTCTTTTCTTGCAGTTTTGTCTTCAGAACATATCATTTGACCCAGCTGCCCATTAGAATAGGGCAGTGCTGCAGATGACAGCTCCTTTGCCCTGCAGAGTAAAGGTCGGGATATTCCCCCACCCCTTAGGATCTTCTGCTTTCACATAGCCTGTTCAAACCTCTCCTCAGTGAGCCCAGGACCCCTTCCCCAGGGCTCTGAATGAAAAGGAGTTCCCATCATAGAGCAAGGACTCAGGCCATAATCATTCTGATTCCATTGGCAACCAAAAGAAAGGCTTAAAGGGCCCTGGGATGCTGGTAAATCAGTTTTATTGGGTTGGGGTAGCAACTATACCCTGGCTGGGAGCAGGGCCAGCCCTCACAGGTTGTTGAGTTCCAGCAGGGTCTGGTCCAGGGTCTGGTGAATCTCCACGTTCTCCTCCTTGGCACTGGCCAAGGTCTCTGTGAGGGGAGGAAGCTGGTGAGGAGAGGGAAGGGAGACGGGGAGCATGGGGGAGACAGGGGGATGCCATGGACAGGGGAAGGTGACACAGACATGGGGTGGGTTAGGAGACACAGGAAGACATAAACTTTAGGGACCTATGGGCTCCCTGGCAGGGGCAATTGGATGAATTAAGCAGGACAGACAGATGCCTCACTTAAGGCCTATGTGGTCATGCAAGTGGGAATGGGGAGGTTTGAGTCATAAACTAGTTTACCCTCCTTCTTTAGAAGGTATAGCAAAAACTGAAAACCAAAGGAAAGACAAAGGCTGAGCCAGAAAGAGAAGACCAGACAGACAGACAGAAATGAGGTGGAAGACAGACCTGCAGCTGCAGTGGAAAGCCCTGTTGCTGATATCCAGTACTTTTTCAAACTTCATTCCACGATCTTCTTGTCCCTCCCCTGTAGCTCACCCCACCCTATTTCCTTTCCAATCATTCTGTTAGATCCTGGAATCCCAGTTAAGTGCTCTAAAGTCTGACAGGTACCAGAGGGGGCCATGGTACTTGATGGGGTCACACATGCCCACATGCAATAATGAGAGTCAGAGACAGAGACTGCAGTGCAGAGGGGTCTTGGTGTGGGTCACAGCATTTTGTAGGGGGATTCAAGGAAGGAGGTGAGGGTCACAAGATTGGGTGTGTCGGTAAAAGCCAGGGTCTCAGGAGTGAAGGAGTGGTCTGTGGCAGTGAAGAAGTGCTCTCTGGAGGGCAGGAAAACAGCATGGAGACCAAGTTTAGAATTTATTAGGCAGCAGAGAGGGCTGGAGGGCAGCAGGTGGAGGGCATTGTGCAGAGATTGAAGGATGAAGCCAGTGCCAGAGTGGGCAGTGGGGGTGATGGAGAYTCTCCCTAGACTGTTCCCAATCTGGCTGGGCAACGATGCCAATTTTTGCTCCTCCTATCTGCCCCTCCYCACAGAAAATGAAAAGAGGGGAGAGAAGGGGGCTGAGATGGTCACACTGATGTGGGCTCAGAGGGAGGTGATGTCATTGAGTGCGTTGTCCAGCTCCTCGCTGATGGCCTTGTACTTCATCTTCTGTGCATAGACTTCATCTGGGATGACCAGGGGAGAGGGGCCAGGTGGGAGTGTGGGAAGAGGGAATGGAGGGGAAGAAGGAAGGAAGGAGAAAGGATGATGGGGAGAAAATGAATCAGAGAGAGGCAGAGAGAGTAAGAGAAAGCGACCAGAGAACAGGCTGGACGGTTTTKGGGGCTTCCTCCTCCCCTTTCTCTACCCCATCTCTCTTTTGCCCTTCTCTTGCCCCAGCTTGGTTCTTCCCCTGAGCAGCATCTGCCCTCCCAGGAACCTATGGGCACAGTGCTCTGAACAGGTAGGCATGCTTGCTGAAGTAGAAGAGGGAGGGTGCTTGAATCAAAGAGGGCTAAAGTCCTAAAGTTGGAGATAAAATTAGCACCTGCCTGAGAAGAAGCAAGGCACTGGGAATTGTGAAAGTTAAAGAGTTATCAGATAAAAAAGGAAAGGTGACCTTGAGTACAGCGGCATTGTTGATAATAGAAATAACCAGAGACTAGCAAATATCTGGATGTTTGTTTTCACCAAATGTAGTGTCTTCCATTAATGTTGTCAGGCAAACTCAAACACTACATCAAATAGCTGTCTCTTCAATCAAGAAGGCTCTGTGATCGGTTTCTATTGTGTTGTGCTTGGAGATGGCTTTGCTTTGTTAGATCAGTATTATGCAAAGTACATTCTGCAGACCAGCAGCATAGTTATTTCCAGAGATCTTRTGAGAAATACAAACTCACCAGCCCTAGGTCAGCAATCAATCACTTTGGATTAGAGTGCAGGTATCTATGGGTATTTTTTTTACTAAATTCATGAGGTGCTTAACCACTAAGCCACATTCCCAGCCCTTTTTATTTTTTATTTTGAGACAGGGTCTCAATAAATTGCTTAGGGCCTTGCTAGGTTGCTGAGGCTAGATTTGAACTTGCAATCCTGCCTCAGCCTCCCAAGATGCTGGGATTACAGCCACCATGTCACCATGTCCGGCTCTATGTTGTTTTTTTTTTTTTTTTTTTTTTTTTTTTTTTTTGTGTGTGTGTGTGGTGCTGAGGATTAAACCCAGGGCCTTATACATGTGAGGCAAGCACTCTACCAACTGAGCTACATCTCCAGTCCTCTATGGCGGTTTTTAAATGTGCTGTACAAGGAACTATACCCTGATTCTTCTGCATGCTCAAGTCTGAGAAGTACAGGAGCTGATGCACTCTGGCTTGTTACAGCTTCTTTGAATTTGTGGAGTCCAACCCTAGTTTATGAGTGGTAAATATAACCCGAAGAGGAGATAAGGGCCAGGCCTACAGTGACAGGTGTGTGGGGGGAGTATCCTTTACCTTCCAGGTCATCAATGGTTTTCTCCAACTTTGCCACAGACCTTTCAGCAAATTCTGCTCGGGTCTCAGCCTGTTAATAAGGGTGGGATGAGTGACATGGTAAAGAATTAAGCATCTCAGAGAGACTCAGCACCTAAGTCAATCTTCTCTCCCATCCCTAGTTCCAGATCCCCTGTCATAGGCAGCCTCTGGCAGGGACAAGGACGGCTTGAGGGGAGACTGGGAGCTAGAAGAGAGCTCTTACCTCCTTTAGCTTTTCCTCCAGCAGTTTGATCTCCTCTTCATACTTGTCCTCTTTGGTGGAATACTTTTAGGGACATACACATGCCATTAGTAATTCGCCTTCTCAAGTCTTTCATTTCTCCACAGAGGCCCTCAGGTTCCTCTAACTTTGCTTCCATTGAGTGCCCAGCCCTCCCTGCCTGGGCCCTCACCTCCCTCCCCTGCAGGACCCAATCTTCACTACCCCTCTACCGCCTCTACCTTGTCCGCTTGGGCCTCCAGGGATTTCAAGTTGTTGGTAACAATTTTCAGYTCTTCCTCTAGGTCCCCACATTTACTGCAGGGGTGTGCGGCAGGGTGGGGTGTGAGGGCACAGTGAGGCAAGACAGCAAGGATGCATAGTGGGGGAAGGGTGGAGGAGAGAAAAGAAGAGCCAAGTGGTGAGAGTGACAGCAGGCAGAGTTTGGGAGCCCAGGCCCTTCCCAACCCGTGGCAGGTGAGAAAGAGCAGCCTGAGATGCTGAGGTAGGAAAGGGAAGATGAGCTGCAAGAAAGTGACATTGCCCAGAAAGTTCCACAGAGGTCACTACCTCCTCCTCTGAGGCCATCAGGGACTTGAGGGCTTGGTCCATAGTTCGAAGTTCCTCCTCCAGCTGCCTGGCTCGGCTGGGGGCAGCAGGCAGGGGTCAGAGGACAGGCCCTGTCCCTAGGGCGCCCCAGGCCTGGGAAATCGACTACCCACTGTGCAGGGTATCCCACAGCCACTGGCTCAGGTCCAGTTCCATCGGTCACCCCAGGGTATCCTTACCTCTCGGCCACCTCGGCTCTCTCTTCTGAGCGTTCCAGCTCTCCTTCCAGGATCACCAGCTTCCTGGCCACCTGAGAGCATTGGGAGAGAGCAGATCAGTGGTTACTGATTTGGGGTGTGAGGCTTGGGAATGGGAAGGAAGTGGGGTAGGGCTCTCACCTCCTCATATTTGCGGTCGGAGTCCTCAGCAATATGCTTGGCCTCCTTCAGCTGCATCTCCTGCAGCTCCATCTTTTCCTCATCCTTCATGGCCCGGTTTTCGATGACCTTCATTCCTCTGAGAGTCAGGGAGAGAGGTGAGTGTGAGGTCAGCACCAGCAGAGACAGGCTCCCTCCCCTGTCCCTGAACCTCCCCGTGTGCCCCTCTCCACCTCTCGCTCTCATCAGCGGCCTTCTCAGCCTCCTCCAGCTTTTGCAGGGCTGTAGCCAGGCGCTCCTGTGCCCGGTCCAGCTCCTCTTCTACCAGCTGGATGCGGCGGTTCAGGGAGG